AGGTGCTTGTAAATGACATATATAATCAACATCATTTGTCATGAAAATCTAGACTAATTGACTTGTTAGCACAGCACTGGCAGTGGTTAAAACACTTGCCTCTCCACATTCTAGATCTGGGTTTTCTATGACATGTTCATAACACAGATGATGTTTCAATCGTCAAAACCTGAATGCCCCTATGCCTGTTTTTTATCAAATTATGAGGGATCTGATGAATAAGCCATGACTGTGAGCTGTGACTCAAAGTCTTCGGACATCCATGTTGTACGCCAGGGTTTAAAGTTCAAATTGATCAGCAAGAATGGGATCCACTGGGATGGTTTTTTTTCTTCCTGTTTTTGTTCTAGAGAAATATGATTTCTATGAATGTGGTTAAAATGAGAAAGAGAAGGAAATGACTATTAATAGACTCTTAAAGATTTTTTAACTGGACAATGAAGTTTATGGTGGTTTCCATTTCGTTAAAAAGTCGGAAGGGGACAATTACATGATTCACATGGTGTGGTGTTCCGGAGCATCATTTGGCATCCATGTTTTTACTCATCTTGCCTTTAAAGAAAAGAAAATGATGTAGAAAATAGCGTGAATTGATAGCGAAGAGGTGATCCCCAGAGATAAAGACGAAAGCGTCTTGCAAGGCGATGACAAGCAGAATCGACACCTCTATGTGACCTCGGAGTTGCCACGGCGATTGAAGAGCCCCCTATTGTCTTAGAATCCATCTGTTCTTGTCCTACACTTATGTCTGGACCTGCTAAGAACTTCTCATCACTCTCCCCTTAAGTCTTCCTTGGTAATCTCTTCAGTAATCCTTAATCCCATGTGCCTGTGTTCCCCTGTTTATCCCCATGTCTGGTTAACAGGGGCAAGTCGGGAAGGCCGAAGGACTTAAATGTTTCATCCAGAGTCCTAAGCGTTGATCCCAAAATGCGGAAGCTTGGGAACATTTTGGGGGATAATATTCCTAGAAATGTGACATGTTAATTTGGGGATGTTATTTGTGGGTGCATTTGAAATTGTGTCAATCAACAGGGATTGAACTTTAAATCTATGTCGGCTAATGCTGGTTAGGAAGAGGGCCCAGTTTCTAATATCATAAATATATATATAGATACAATTTAAAGGAGGCTGTCATGCTTAAAGATAAACTTGAGTTCTGGTAAAAAAAGAAAATGAATTCTCACAGAATCTAACGAAACTTACACTGAATGTTCAAGATTACAAATAAATGTCATGTGCCAAACAATTTTGGAAGAAAATGTATACTGGATGAGTAATGAGCATAGAAAGATAAGGAAATCAGGGTAGTACTAGCCCCGACACCATGTGTGCTGTCCATATACATCTTTCTGTGTAAGTGATTGTTACTTTACCAAGACTCTGCCAAATTTATGATGATTTTGATGACTCCAGAACCTTGCATTACACACCATTACTTACATGCTATATGATCAACTTTTCTGATCCATTCCACACCTTTTCTTTCACAATGCAATCGCATTACCAGAACTAAAGTTTATCTTTAAGAAGATTGAGACTTTTCATAAACTTATACAATGAATCATTTTTAATGGAATGATGAGCACATTTTTTGAATTATTCAGCTTGATTCTTAAAAAGAAAAGAATTTTTTTGGATGCAAGATACATTTATTAACCTCAATGTTATAAAATGGAATGAATAACATGAAAGTTGGAAGGGAAAAACAGTAGAATCCTGGCATTTTTTATCCTCACTAAGAGCTTTCAGTTGACGCGAAGTTATTGTCGTATAACTTGAAATGTGATTGAAAATAGAACTCCTGTAACCTACAGGCTGTGCATTCTCTTAGGAATTATTGAACTTTTCCAAGACTTTTAGCATCACAATACTTGGCTTCATTCCCACATTGACAATTTTGACATGTGAAAAAAATCAATATAAAAACCCACCAAAAGGAGTGTTGTCAGATAGCGAAACCTTAGGGGTTTATATTTTGTGTTGTTTTAATCTTAACGATTGCTCTGGCAAGGACAGAAATGGAATGGTATTTAACTATTTGATAACATTTACGTGTTGATATGGGAATTCATTCTGTGAGTTATAATCCTTGATGTACACTTAAGGCTGTCTAATTTGGGTTATAAAAAGAAACAGAAAAATCATCACTTCCTGTCAAAACATGCTCAAAATCCTTTCCATATTTCAAAATTTTGACATTGAAAAGATATATAGATTGCCTTGAAGAAGAATCATACGTGTACACTCTTACTTTTAGCCTTGAGGGGAAGGAGAGGGGAAGGAGAGAAGAGTCACTTTTTAATTTTATGAAGAGAACTGTTAATGACTCAAAATCCTTGCTTATTTTAGAGGGGAAGTATGGAAAAAAACATTGCTTGAATGAATTAATGATTTCTAAGATTCTTTTTGCTATGTTTAGGGGAATAATTTTGGTTGGTTATAGAGTTGCTGAGATGTAGAAGGGTATTGATTCTGGCTCTTGGTAGATCGATCAAAATAAGCCCTGATATTTTTAACCAGTGTAATTATATACAAAATTTCATGAAATTTGAGATATGTATTCAAAGGAAGAAAATGAAGTTGTAATAGAATGTTATTTTTATAGCATTTCATATTTACCACAATAAATCAATATGCTAGTTTAACAAATGTTTTCTAGAAACCAAATGCTATGAATGAAAAATATTTTTTTAGCCTTCCTATTTAGTGAGAGTCTTGATTTTAGTGATGTGGGTTAATTTATACAGCTGCATGAATAATTAAACATAATTGAGTCGTTCTGAGCTGTATGTCTGGTCACTCAATTATCAGATGAACAATTACCTAATTCTCATTGTTTTGTGATATGGATAGTGGATTTTACTGAAAATATTGTTGATCCTTATTCACTTGGGTGGGCCTCTTGTTTGCAGACGTGAGTTGTCTCGTTCCAAGGTATAGTGGAGGCTCAAACTTCAGAGCTGCAGGTTCAGGAAATAAGTCTTAAGTTAATTCATAGCAGCCAAGATTCGGTTTCACTTTAGCAGTCTATCTGCACCTTGATACATCAAATAGTTCATTTATGATATAATAATAAATACATTTCATTTATGAAGCGCCTTTTCATAGGATACAAAGGGCATACAAAGAAAATACTTACAAAGCAAAAGCATATTATCATACCAAGCTTACATTGATTACAAACAAAGCGGTATATTAAGAGAAATTAGAAAAGATGTGTTTTCAGACACCTCGTGAAAGCTGTGAGAGTATGGCAATTCTTTAGAACAGGGGAGTAAGGAGTGCCAGGTTTTGGAGGCAGTAACAGAAACAGCCCTATCACCTTTGTGGAAAGTATGCGTCATGACTTTTTAGGAGAGAAGGGGTAAATTATGAGCAAGGAGGGGCGTTGAGAAGCTTATCTCAGAATTATTACAGCATTGTTTAAATAACTTACAGACTGAACTTTTGCAATGAAAGAAAAGATTCCTTTCAGATAAACACTTTTAAAAAACAGATTACTCATGTAGCTCACTGTATTGATGGTCTTTTGAGGAAAGTTTTGTAAGGTGGACTTTGATTCATGTACATTAATATACTGTTTTTTTGCAATTATCAGTAATTGAGGTAACTGAAATGAAATTAAAGATGTGTTTATCTTGATAATGCTTTTCATGATTTACAATATTGACAAAGAGATTTTGTTTTTATGATTATGCAAGCCAAACCACACCCTAGGGTTAATATTTGAATTGGAATATACTTGCAACAATAACCAAACTTGATGAAAAGAGGGCTCATTGAGCAATGACCCTGATTCATATGTTCTTCTAGCGTGATCATGTGTAGGATATAGTCTATGTTCTGAATCACGTATGAATAACTCGTGAATGGTGACCCCTCATCATGTGAAGTAAGCAGATAAGACATGCAAGCTTACACTTCTAGGTGTGTCTCAAGAAAGGATAACATTCTTTCTATCAGAATACACAACATATAAATAGCACATGGTTTAATCATTGTGTTGAGTGAATGTAATGCAATGGCTTTAAGAAGTATGGTGTTATTATTGAATGAGAAGAGGAAGAGGTAGACAAAGAGAGTGAATATTTGAGTGATTTTGTTTTTTGTTGTAATTTATTGTTTTTGTTTGTTTTGTTTTATGATGTGTCTTTTTTTAAATTCAACTTGCAGTGAGGAAGCATGTTTAAGAAATAAAAGATAATAGAAAGAGAAAAAAATAATTATATTTGTAATAGGTGTAAGGATAAATTGTAGCATTTACTGGACAATTCAAGTTTCTAAAATGGAAGGTGTTTATATGCAGTGCTATATTGCAATTGGTTTCTCTTTCCTCTTCCTCATATCCTTTATTCTTTATCCTAACCTATCTTGTTTCTTCAGTTTGGAACCATTTGCAGGAATCTTTTAACTGTATACCTCAAGCTGTTTTTTGGCTATATACCCCTTTCAAAATCACTTCACTGTTTTATATTGTTGTTGTTGTTCTATGCTGGATAATGCAGATTGTCAACATGACTCACACCTTCCCCAACCTCTCCTATAAAAACTGACAAATTCAAATCTATTCATTGTGATGATCTCTTTTTGTTGTCATCTCAGGAACTGGATGATGCAGAATTGTCATGATACCTCCCCAAGCCCCTCCTATAAAGACAGACAAATTCAAATCTATTCTTTGTGATGATCTCTTTTTGTTGTCATCTCAGGAACTGGGCGATGCAGAATTGTCATCGTACCTCCCCAAGCCCCTCCTATAAAAAAAAATGACAGTTTCAAAGCTATTCAGTGTAGAAGTGTCGTAGTCGAGTGATTTAAGTACTTGACTTGAAATTCAAAGGTCGTGGTTCGATCCCAAATACGGCACTAATGTCTTTTGCAAGGCATTAATCTTCATTTGCCACACTTGACCCAGAATAGAATTTCTAGATAGATGTCATCATAGAAATGCCTAATACTATTATTATTACTATTGTCTCTTTTTGTTTTCATCTCAGGAACGCAAACAGAAAGAAGACATGCAAAGCAAGATCAGCAAACTCCAGGAGGAGCGGATGAGGTTACAGGACGAATCAACGTCTGCGGCGGTCCAGCTACGGCAGATCAAGGATTGGATTTACCAAGGGGATAAACCTGTCAAGTAGCCCATCCCTCGGATCATAGAAAATACTAAACTCTGAATGCTGATGTTGCTTGCTAGTTAAGCAAACTGTCAAAAACAATCTAGCTGTGTTGCGTCTGTGGTTTTTGAGAGATCATAGATGTCTTCAGCGCATTAAACTTGTTCCTAGCTTTATCGTAATCCTGGAAAGATTGCGAAGACCACGTGGCCAAATACAGTGAACCCTGCTCAGTGACCACCTGTGTAGAAGGACCGGACCGCCTGTCTATAAAGACCAAATATGTTTGTTTCCCTTGAACTGTGTTTCTCAATTTGAAACATAGGAACTTGTATGTGAAGACCTCCTGCTCTTATAGACCACTATTGTTGTCTTCCTTGAGAGGTCTTTATATACAGGTTCCATCGTACTATAAAGATGTCTTTATTATGAAGTCTTAAAAGATCTTTCCAACCCAATAACAAAAGGGTATGGCACTCTTTGATATCCCTTGCCATCGACATGCCAAATGCCTCGTCTCAGTTTAGAAGTGACAGGCACCTATTTGTATTTTGGAATCTGTATGCAATTCAAGCACTTTGTCAGTGAGGTTACTGTAAAGGAGTGTCCTGTTTAGTTATTGTTTAATGAGACTCATCTGTGTAGATCCAGACCATACCCATGTATACAAATTTTATAACTTATTGTCCTTCAGGTATCAAACCAATGACATATGACTTCTATGTAAGCTTTCCATTTATAAGATTATCCTTGATCTGTTCTTGTTTATCTGGTGCTCATCTTTCTTGACTGTATACAATCAAAAAGTGATTTAAGATTCAAACTATTCAGCTCCGTATATCAGAGCAGTACTTTTTTAATCCTTTTTTTTTAATTTGTATGTTTTATTAAATCAAAACTAATGTCACAATATTTACAGGTCATCAATAATGATTGGTATAGAGAAGTACTTTTAATATCCTACAAGTAATATCTCAATACAAATTCAATTGATCAACAGAGTCATTTTGTTGTAGGAGAACACAAACTATATTTTATATGTGATATCCTGGCTTTATTGTTCATTGGCGTAATTCATGTTTTTAGTCATGATGATGCAATGATCCCAGAGTTTGGATTAGTTAATCCTTAGGGGAAATCATGGGGTGGAGATTAAGGGCTTTGGTAGATCATTGTGACAGATGAGAAGACAAACAGGAGGAAGCACAAATATTAAGCCCTGGTTCTTTATGCTTAGGGTTGTCTACTGGAAATGAATTAATCTTGAAGCAAATCTTCTTTTGCAACCATGGGAAATGCTTCAAAGTAATCTGAGATTATGATTTGCGCTACTTTTAGATGAAGGTCTATGAACTGCAATGACACGAATCAAGTTCATTAATGCGGTGAGATATTGTTTAGGCATGCTTTTTGCAGCTCGATCTAAGCAGCTTCTGCAACACGGCTAATATATTACAAAAACTTCATTGTGTGAAAGTCAGTACACAAAGTTGATCATGCAAGAGATTACCACATTTCTTTTCTGTGTTATGACAATGAGTGAAGCCAGTTGGGAATATGGTTTAGAAGGTATTATGTTTGAGCAAAGTTTATACCTAAAGATAGGTGTAGGATTGGTATACGTTTAAGTAGAGGTGTGGTGGTCTAGTGGATATTCTCATTGGACTATGGATCACATGGTTCGCGGTTCAAGTCCCGCCGCTTCACTAATATCCTTTGACAAGACATTAATCTACATTTGCCACTCTCCACCCAGGTGTTAAATGGGTACTGGTAGGAATGAATTCCTTGAATGCTGTGAGCACTGAAATCGGTAGCCTAGCAGAGCTGGTGTATTATTGGAGAGCCTTGAGCACCTTGCGTGGTGGATATGGGCGCTATGAAAATGACTAATATTATTAGTAAGTGTTTATAAGGTAGCTCTTAAAAGGCCAATGGTGCACATGTTTACTATCTGCTGAGCATATAACAAAAAAACCTGTTACAAGTTTGCTGTTGATGAAACATACTGTATTGACAAGATATATTGGTCTCATAGACATTCAGATTATCATGATCCAAGTTAGCAAATAATAATAATAATAAGAAGAATTCTGCTTTTATATAGCGCTTAATACATCTTTGTCTCTAAGCGCTTTACAGATCCAATATTACCCTGGTCATTGTACTCAATACTTGCCCTCACACACAGTGTGCACAATCTCCACTCCCTGGGGAGCATTCCCGCTAGGTGTTCTCAAGTTTTGCAGCTTGCTACATGTCCTGAAGAAAAATGAATGGATATATTTAATTGTTCTGACAAGTTCTATTCTGAAACCAAACAACCGGAAACTCTTAGCTCACACCTTTGTGAAAGGGGAACTCAAAACCATAGTTCAGGAAATCAAGGTCAGGTGAGGAAAATTGTAGAAGAGTCATCAGAATACCTGAGGTTTTTAGATTTATTGAAAGGATATATATATATATATATATATATATATGTTTTGTCAAGTCATTTTATCATATGACTTGTCTCCATTATAGTGACTATTGGTAACCATAAAAATTATTACAATTTATATGATTAAGGAATTCACTTTCTTTTATGGTTATAAATGTACCTATGCAGAAGAGCTAAATGATGTTTAATTAAAACAAAACTAAACTAAACATTGGTTTTTGTACCATGCCTAAAACTGATCTAAACGTTTGAGGTTTTATATCAGAATGAATCTTTAAAAATACCCTTTGAAAAACATGAAAATGAGGGGGGGGGGGGTTATTTTCCTGGTGTTTCTTCAAATTGTTTTTAAAAAAATAGAGAATATGGACTGCTTATGCAGCTTAAGATGGTTGAGGCATAGAATCATTATTAAAGTGAACTAAAGAAAGTTGGGGGAAATGGTTGAAAGCAGGAGCTGGGATTAATGAGATATCCTTGATATGTCATCAACATTCTTTGTTGCCAATTTGAGATCATGTGATCAATCACATGATCTTTGCCTTATCATGTCTGTCAAATGTGCTATTCATGGAAAAGAACGCGTACGCAGCCAGGGAAAACGAGGAGAACTCCTTGCAGACAATACATCCTTTTTGAATTACTGCAGAATGGTCTATATCTGTAACAAATTTCAAAACAAAGGGGCATTCTACATGATGTAGAAACATGATCACACTGTTACCAATCAGATATCAGCTATTGAATTGCATCTTATATTTTTCCCATTGTCTACTCTTCAAAGTATATGAATGCGATTACTTAATTTTTTACTTAAAATTGGCATCTTACAGCACCTTTTATTGCTACAGTATCACATTCAGACTGATATATTTCATGATACAACAAACTTATCCTGATATCTCTATGTAAGATTAAGAATAACTATTTCTCTCTATTTTGGAACAATGTTCACTTTTTGGAACGACTTTAAGTACGGTACTTTAGAAAGTGATAAAAGAGACTTGGTTAAGTTTATCCTGGAGCATTTCATGAGTGATAATACTGATCATGATACAATTATGTATGCTATTCTGTATGTGTACTTAATGAACATTGTAACTGAAATGATAACAGTTCTCACTCCTGTTAATGAAAGGTCAACAATATTTTAAACAACAATATTTTAAACAACAATATAAAGCCAAATTACCATAATTTGAATATAGTTTCTTGAAAGGTGCACAATACCTAACAATGTTTGTTATATTAACAATTGATTGTCTGAATGTATTGGAATCTCATTATGTGTTCAGTTGAGAGTCAGAAGGGCAATAATTCAATGATAACACGTTTCTGGCTCTAAGCAGACCAAATAACTTCAATATATATTACCCGGATGTGATACATGATGAAGCTATAATTATTGGACAAGTACGTGCATGCAAGGTGGATATCAGTTTGAAGAAGGTGGCCGTGGCTTGAAGGATCAAATTAAATGTTTTACGGCTCGTTCACATACAGGGTTTATATGTGTAATGCATGATTGGCAGGTGGGGATAACGAAGTAGCTGTATGCAACAAAGTTCCAAAGCATATTCACTTATCAGTGTGTTATGAGATACAAAAGTGTAAACACAAGTACATTTTTAATTACGTTTTAAAAAAACCACCATCTGTTACTCCAGCATTATGTGAACAAGCCTCAAGATAGTATGTTCTCCAGAGATAGATCACATGAAAACCTTGACCAATATTTTATGATTCCTGCAGAGTGCCCCTACTCTCTACTTCAAGTACGTTTTAATTACGTTTTTTTTAAACCACCATCGTTTACTCCAGCATATGTGAACGAGCCTCAAGATAGTATGTTCTCCCTAAATAGATAACATGAAACCTTGACCAACATTCGATGATTCCTGCAGAGTACCCCCACTCTCTTCCTGACATTCCTGCAACATGAACTCCCTATGCTGCAAGGCCTCAGACTTCCCCCCGCGCATCTTCGTTTCCGCCAAGAAGGAGAGCTGCTATTTAGAGGCGATTTTCGTTTAATAAGGAGCATGATTTTGAGTTTTCAATTGCTGCTCAGTAGGTTTTCTTTGCTTGTTTTAGTTGCGATTATGTTCTCGATTGTAGGATCAACTTTTTCCTTTGCAGGAATTTATTTTAATTGAACTTATTTTTATGCCTCCGCCACCGAAGGTGGTGCCGGAGGCATCATGTTTTCGGGTTGTCCGTCCGTACGTCCGTCCGTACGTCCGTCCGTCCGTACGTCCGTCCGTACGTCCGTCCGTCCGTCCCGTTTGACCGTTATCACAATATCTCAAGAACCATTTAAGATTTAAACTTAAGACTCGGGAATAGTATTTATCACCATAGGAAGACGATCTGATTAGATTTTGGAGTACGTAGGTCAAAGGTCACAGGTCACAGAGGTCAACTTATGAAATTCCTTGTATTGAGTTTGTTAGCGCGATATCTCAAGAACCATTTGAGATTTAAACTTCAAACTTAAGGATAGTATGTATCACCATAGGAAGACGATCTGATTAGATTTTGGAGCACGTATGTCAAAGGTCAAGGGTCACAGAGGTCAACTTATAAAATTCCATACATTGAGATTGTTATCATGATATCTCAAGAACCACTGGAGATTTAAACTTCAAACTTAGTGATAGTGTGTATCACTATAGGAAAACAATCTGATTAGATTTTGGAGCACGTATGTCAAAGGTCAAGGGTCACAGAGGTCAACTTATGAAATTCCATACATTGAGTTTGTTAGCGCGATATCTCAAGAACCATTTGAGATTTAAACTTCAAACTTAAGGATAGTATGTATCACCATAGGAAGACGATCTGATTAGATTTTGGAGCACGTAGGTCAAAGGTCAAGGGTCACAGAGGTCAACTTATGAAATTCCATACATTGAGATCGTTATCGCGATATCTCAAGAACCACTGGAGAATTTTCACTTCAAACTTAATGATAGTATGTATCACCATATCATAATATCTCAAGAACCACTGGAGATTTAAACTTCAAACTTAATGATAGTGTGTATCACCATAGGAAGACAATCTGATTAGATTTTGGAGCACGTAGGTCAAAGGTCAAGGGTCACAGAGGTCAACTTATGAAATTCCATACATTGAGATTGTTATCATGATATCTCAAGAAGCACTGGAGATTTAAACTCCAAACTTGTTTAAATTGCTCTATGGCGGAGGCATCATTTTCGACTGCGCGCAGTCAAAATTCCATCTAGTTTAGTTCTCAACTGCTGCTCGATATGTTTTTGCCTGCTGCTGAAGATATTTAGTTCTGGAGTAGACCAGTTTGTTAATATATTGTGATTTGTGGAGATTTCTTCCCAGAACCATTATGGAAGGCCCATATTCTACTGATTTAGATCAAAATGTTGTTGATAGGTATCATGCAAATGATTTGAATGCTTTGGCGAACTTGTCTATTTATTTTGATTAGGTTTGTTTTATACCCCATGCTCTGCTTTACTTTCCAGCAGCTCCTAAACTAGACTTTTAATATTGCAATATTTGAACAACCCTAATAGTTGCATCCCTGCTCAAAATGCCATGTAGGTGATATCAGACCCCTATTAGTGACCGAATGGACTCCCCTGATTTTGCTGTAAACCGATTTGAACCGTCGTGGGTTTGGTGGGAGAGACACAAGCCTGAAGAAAAAAAATTGGAAGCAAGATTGATTCGTATCTGACGTACCCTTTTAATCTTCCACCTTCCTGCGCTACCCTACCGTCCTGTCTGCCTCGCATCAAAAACAAAAGAACACCCTCAAGCAAATCCTTGTTCAGTTAGATCCTAGACGTCCATTTGTTTTCCTGGAGACAACTTGTTCACAGTTATTATAGGTCCTACATAGATGTCCTTTTGTTTTCTTGACATTTACAAGGGAGTTCTTCTGATTTTGTCTGGTGTGAATGGTGAATAGGATACTTTTTAACAAAAAATGGTGCCCTTTAACTAATTAAAGGGCACCATTTTAGATGTCTTTGTGTTCTCCTGGACCTTATAGGGCATCCATATGTGGTTCAAAGACTGTCGTGAAGCAGGTACCTGTTCACTAAAATCCTAGATATTACTACAATTTTTTCTGGAAAAAATGAATGTACATTATATCTCCTGTGATAAGTATTGGACTTCATTCAGTTTGAAAAGCTTGAGACAAACTACAAGTGTCATGTGACTAGCACAGATGCAAATGCTAGTCCTAGTCATGGAAAAGTGATAAGGAATACCTGTCCATGATGATGATGTAGAGGGCAGCATTACATTTGATAGATGAACCTTGTTAGCATTCATCATTATGCACTAATACCATCATTTGAAGCATATGCTGTATTTTTCTTTTATGTTCTTCAAATACAAGTAGTTTATAATTTATTTGTAAGGGATACTCTAAAAGTGTCTTGATATATAAATGTTTTATACTTTTCAAAAGGGCCTTTGTTTTGCAGGGTAATTTGGTAGTCAAACTTACATGAATTTCCATGTCACAATAGCACATACTGGTACCCATATTAATCGTAATGATCAATGATTTCTTTTATATTCCAGATTTGTTGTAATACCCTCTTCGAAAGCTAGTTTTAATCCCCTTTTAATTGATACATGTGTAATTGTTCTAACGTAGTTTCACCAAATACCTGTGAGAGTGGCAGCTTATGAGATCAAGGACAGTAATTCATATCATTTAAAGAGTTAAAGACCTTCTGGATCTCAACTGATGATATGATATGTGTGATAATGATAATAAAATAAAATAAGCTTAATCTATGTGTGTGATGATCGATTGATAGATATAAAGAGAGGAGAAAATTGGAGGAACTGAGAAATGGCATATTGTATAGATATTATGGCACAGGACCAATCGTCTGAAAACCAATTATTTTCAGCATTCTTCAAATATGTTAATTGCAAAACAAAACCTTGCATTGCAAAAGAAATGTTTCCCATATGACATCTATGCATTGTTTCATCAGGGAACTATGTAAATATCTATCAGAAACTGAAAACATATATCTCTTTTTTTATATATATATATTTGTATGATCTTCATCATAGGTGATATAAATCATGCTATAAATTGTACAATTTCATTTCTGTTTCCGATCATTATTTATTGTCTAATTATGATTATATAATGTAGATTAAATTTCTCTTGAGGTAATTGGTATAACTTTTTTTGTTCCATGATAATATTATGAATGACATTACAATTATTATTGGCTATACTTGAGTTAATGTAAATTATAAATGAGTCATTGTTAATTTCCTTGAATATATTATTCTGTTTATTTGCATAATCAAGCTTTTGTTTGCTGTATAATTTTGTTTCTTTGTGTCGGATAATATTTGTGTACATGTACATTTGGTATGTAAGATATAATATTGTATTTTTTGTGAATATCTTTCCATGTAATGATAGAACTGCAAGCCTACTTGAAAATTGCAGTATGAAAATCTGTTTTAATACATAAAGACCAAAAAAGAACTCATGCTTTGCGTTTGCTTTTGTAACACTGTTTTTTGTCAATGATTGAGTGCTAATGAGGTAAATGTGTGAGCCATAGACTAAGTATGTGATGAAAGTGGTGCGAAAAAACAAAGAAACAAATTAATAAGCAACCATACTCTCCTTAAAACTCAGGAACATTGCTGTAAGTCATCTGTGATATCAAGTTATTTAAATCAAGAAGGAGAAAAATGAGAACTTCTTGGAGTCTTGAACATTTCTATACATTGCAACAATGATTTTTTTTTGCAGGCTACTCTCATTTTTATTTTATACTCGACTTCATTTTTAAAAAAGTGCAATTTTATTGCTCATTATTAATTAATTAATTTCCTGGAGGAGGGATTTGTTTAATGTTTGCTAGACGAGGGGGGAAGAGAGGGAGAGAGAGAGAAAAGAGAGAGGATGAGGAGGAAGGGAGAGAAGAGAGAGAGAGAGGGGGAAGGGTAAGAGAGAAAGAGAGAGGGAGGGAGAGAGAGAGAGAGAGGGGGGGGGGCAGAGAGCTAGTCTGCAAGCACAGACTCTAATTTGTCACTTAACCACAATTCACAAAGCCTTGAGCAGAGCCTATATCTGTCAGTTTCTGGCTGTGTCGGCTCAAGTACAGCACCTGTTGTAGTCTCATAGTGCAGACACTGTTATGCAAAATGACTGACCAGGGTTTGTGCCTGCAAACTAGAACAGAGAGACGGAGAGAGGGCTTTAAAGGGAAAAATGAAAGTTATTTTTTACTTTGTTTCATAACATCCCCCATAAAAGTTTGTTTTTCTTCTGAAATTATGAAATTATTTTCATTCAAACACTCATTGACAACGGAAATAGCTATACAATTATACGTTTTCGGCCTGGGTCACTGTTTAGTTATGCCATATTCTTAATTTAGGCATGAATATGAGTATAAAACAGACAACCTGCAAATTAAAAAAAAGCTTGGACTGAGAGCTAGACTAAGTGCACAAGATTGCTATAGAAATGAGACGCTAGATATCGTTCCCGTTTTCGGATTTGATTGTAAAATATTGCGGATTCTGTGGAAATTGTCTGTTCCATTTATATCTACCTAATGGAAACATTTTCCTGTTTTGAAATGACTTGTATGAAGAGGCCGGTTACGAAAGAGTAAGCAGTTAGCAGTCACTTGTCAAGACCAAAGTTACGTACTCCAGTCCCATACGTCGATTTACACGTGAGTAAATAAAAACTTAGTGGCCAAATGTGATTGCGAGGTGATGATGCAGATGGCGCTCTTCATGTTTTTTTTCCTGCCAATTATTAGACAATCGTGTAGTGATATGACTACAGGTGTTTGTGCAGGTTAATGCATACCTTCTCTGTAAATACTGTCAGATGAAGATATAAAGGTCTAGATCTAGATCTAGACTATTCGGCGCTTGTTCAGAAGCCTAGTCTATCCAAAATTTGACCCGTAACTCCGGCGTGGAGATACCTACTAAAACATACCCGAAATGAAGTAAATATTCATTAAATGTCCAAATAAAGATCATGAGTTAAAAGTTGTTATGTTTGTTACCTGTTTTGTGTCAATTTTCTTGTTATTTTTGGAGTATTTTTCGGAAAAACATTGATACTAGTACACTTTTTCACAGGTTTCACGGCAAACCGCTGCACAATACAAGTGTATACCGATGGTGGGTTGTGGGCGGGTGCGCGCCTGTGTGAAGTTACCTACCGTATGTGTCTATTACGGTCAGTAGGGTATGTAATTGTGCAGCGGTTTGCCATGAAATCTGCGTCCTTATTGCTTGACTTGTTACATTAACTTTGCTGTTTTTTATACTTCAACAGACTTGATTGAACCTGAAAGATTGAGATGTCTACCCTCCATAAGTTTAGCATTCGCACACCATACCCAATCTCACAAAACCAGCTGAGCAGCAACGGCACCTACCTGGCTCTCCCATTCACCAAATCTTCCATTGGCGTGTGGAGCCTACAAAGCTGGCAGTCAAAGGTTAATACCGGTACTTGCTTTAAAGGGATTGGGTAACTTTGTCTCAGATTCTGAATAAAAATCATGGATTTAGCTCAGACCACAATGATAATTATAAACCTTTAGGTCAGTCAGGAACCCCATGACTTTTACAAGCCGATCGCCTGTCTAATTATTATCAAGATAGTTATGATTGGAAATCGAAATCTAAAAATTTGTTTTTTATAACACTACAGTCTATTAGTGAGTATGGTAAAACCGGTCACTCAAAGACATTTATTTTTTGAGGCACTTCATGATCATTTTGAAGCGCAATTTTTGTAGGGCTTCAATATTACACCATGTCACATAACGGTGTAGACTGTAGGGCCATGTATCTCAGATTTAACATTGTTAAACGATGCCTTTGATATTTTGATTGATGTTTGGCAATACTATTCTCAAGAAGGAAAGAAGAAGATTAAATGGGTCATTGTCTAGTGAAAGTTGTTATGTTTACTGTACATCAGACAGTGTCGTTTGATCATGATCAAGATAATGATTAAAATCTGCAACATTTTAATTCTCAAGTATTGTACTTTGCATTATTGAGAAGTGCTGTAATACAATTTTCATGATGTTTGTGTCTCGTATAGCCCTTAGAGTTGGTCGCTCACAAGAGACGGGTTTCGGCCATTGCCTTTGGCTTTAGACACAGCCCCACACTCCTCTGCACCGCTGGGTCAGATTACATCATCGTCTGGAACGTGGAGAAGGCTAGAACTACCCATGATACAGGTAATATCTTTTCTCTTTATCTCCTCTTAAAGCCCCACTGCATTACTTATAGCTACTTGCGCCCTCTATATAGCAAACAATGCCTTAACGGTGACCGCTGCTCCCCCATGGTCCCCTTTTTCGTATGTTAATTGAGAGCTGATTTGATGCGATAAACACCTGTCAGTGACCATGCTGGGTGGTCTAATCCCTCCTGGCCAACTAGTGCAGACAGGCTTTTATAAGCATGATCTGTTAGTCACAGGCGGATATTTGACAAAATCACACCATTTTCAAAGATACAAAGCCTGTAAAATTAACTTTTGAATTCTAGTGAACTGCTTTGTTTCATTGTAAAGGGTATCACTCAAGGAGTAAAAATTTGATAACATAAGGCTGCCCTACTTTAATACCAACTAACATGGTAATGCATAGTGTGCAGTGTCTCGAAGACAGACATAATGCCAACACTCAAACTGATCAGGCTCCAATATAAACATATATGCTGATGTCTATAAGAAAACAAAAGTGTGTTACTGTGTTTGTTTTGTCAGACTGAATAATTCTGATCATACACTTGAAAAACAAAGAAATGATGTGATTGAAAAATTATTTAAAAAGGTGTTGGGTATCTTGCATTGTTTCTCTAGTAGTGTAATAGTAGTAAATAATGGTTTAATTTGCATAGGGGCTGTTCCATTCTGTAATTGTTAAAAGTGGAAACTTGTTATGACATTGGGACCATGAAAATTACCTTGTTATATTAGAGCACTTTATAATTAATTTCCACTGTATCTATATTACGTCCAGGTCAGCAGATTCGAGGCACCATCATTGGGACCAACTATGATGAACCTCAGTATGTTGCCTTCAATCCAGATGATAATCTAGTGGCCCTCTGTGTGGAGAATGAAGTTCTAATCCTTGATGCTCAGGTAAGAATGATTTTAATAATGAAAATAATAATAATATCAAGGGGTCAGTGACACAAAGACGTAACTCCCCTTTGGCCATTTTGAGAAAAAAGTAGTTATGTGTCACTGAGTACTTGGACCTTAAGGAGTTAAGTCTTATGTTTCACTAGCCATTGACTTCAATGGCGTGGTGGGTGGAGTTAAGTCTTTGTGTTTCCTGGAAAGCCCACATTTTTCTGAACATTTTGATATCAAATACTAATTTTGGCAAAATATGGAGTATACCTCTTTGTGTCACTGAACCCTTGATGTGTTCATTGATATAGCGCTCTCACAAAATTGGTTTCATAGCACTTTACAAGATACGAAGGTGGGAAAATCAGTTTAATATGAACTTTTTCAAGTGTTTGTTAAAGGTGTCTAGTGTGAGTGCTGTACGGATGTCCTGGGGCAGTTGATTCCAGAGGCAGCTAGGTGCATATGATTAAAAAGCATTGTCATCTGTCAATGTGGACGTACTTTAACACAGAGATAACGCCCTTTTGGCTCCCAGGAGAGTGTTTTCTCTGTGTTAAAGTACATGAGTTAACATCCTTCTGGCCCTATTAAAGTAGACAATGTGTTTTCTCTATAAAACATTATTGAAAGAAAGGTATTTTTAAGTCACAGTGACAGATGACAATGCTTTTGAATCATATGCACCCACCTTTGCATGATTATCGACTTCATCGTCTCTTTTTAAGTTTTCATAAGAAAAGAAAGTTTTAAAAAACATAGAATGAGAACCTGGATTTCCCATGTTGATAATGGGATTTAGCTGAGCCTTTTCCACTCTGATTAAATACAGAACAGGGCCATTTTTCATGAAACTGGTTATCAGTAATTATAAACAAGATCCAATAACAGTTATAAGCCACTGAAATCGTGGCATTTGATTGGCTGAAAGCAAATTTGCCATAGAATGTTAACATTTATCATTGATGACAAGTTGTATAAAACATGCAGGGCCCAAGATTAATTAATCAGAAAGATAGAGGAATTCACTGTCTGTTCATAGGAAGATTTCTCCAGATTTTAGCCATGCCCTGTTCATTCTGTAACTCATATTTTAGCAAAAGCAATTGTTCCTTCCCTTGGATGTAATGAAAAAGTCCCCTAGTAGAAACCTTTTTGAGAGGTTTCTTCATGTAAGTTACCTAAGATATCAAATTTGTGTTGTCTTCTTATAGAAAGAGAGACTTGACATGAGGTTAGAAGGTCACACAGCCCTGGTGACCTGTGCTGAGTTTTGCCTGCATTCACCGGACACCGTGGTATCAGCTTCTGAAGATAGAACATTCAAAGTAAGTCTCTTGTCCACAGACATAAGAAAATTGATTCTTAGTGAATTTAACCAGTGGCAAAGCTACAGGCGATGCAAAGAGGCACCCCCCCCCCCCTCATCATAGAATGAAGAGAAAAAAAGGAAAGAGAGAGAGAGAGAGAGAGAGAAGAAAAGAGAGAATTGGGAAAAGGAAAAGAAGATGATAGGATCCCCTCCCACCCCATTCCCCATAATGAGAGGGCTTGTTAATGAGCTTGTCATTTCTCGCATGTGAACTGTGCCCTCCATGGTGCCAATGCCCCCTCAATGGTTAGTCTCGCACTTCACCACTTATTTTAACCAGAGAAAGATATCATCTTATGATAATTTTAACAGTTTGAGAGCATTAAATGAAAAATAAGTTTTGAGATTTGTTTTGAATTGTCAACGAGCAACGATAAGGATGTTGTTATTCTTCTTGCAAATTAAGAAATTCCTGAGAAATATTGGCCTACACTTTGAAAGAAAGCTAGCTAGGTAGTAAAGAATTGTACAAAGAGGTTTAAGCTGAAAAGCTATTTTCGCCAGAAAATCTTCATTGTTGACTGAATTTTTTTTACTTTTACTTTCTCCATTTTGATCTAAACAGGTTTGGGATATTGCGACACAGTGTCTCATATACCAATCAAGCATTATATCAGGTTTGTAAACTGAAACTGTTTGAGTAATGTAGCTCTAGCTGCTGTTGATTAATTTGAAAATGATGCGGAATATGTTTTTTTGTCAGTTTGTATTTTTTTTAAGTCATTTTTTTAATAGGTTAAGTTTCATGCCACCTATATCATTTTATTTTATACCACTGATGTACCTCTTAAAGATCTCAACATACACATTGCTTTTCAGTTGAAGAATGGACGTTATCATCAATTTGCAGAGTTAAATTTGAGTTGTTTTTCAAGTATGAACAATTGTCAAACACAACAATTCCTTTTATCATACGTGCCCTGTTTGTGTTCTCACGAAGAAGAGGGGAATGTTTTTAGTCCAAATATGTTTGACATTATTAACTCAACATACTGGGCAGGTTGATAAAACTGCCTTCTTTCTCTTTCTTCGCTGCAGCTTCTCCATTCCTCTGTCTTGCCATTGATCCATATTCTCAATGTGTAGCCCTGGGTACAACGGACGGACAGGTACCGTTAATCTTTTGCTTTTTTAATTGCAAAACATTGAAAAATTAATTGTTTAAGATATTGTTTAAATTTATTTTGCATAAAGATACAATATAGTGATTACATCATATTTAATCTTTTTGTAAGCCCAATTTCTCACACCAGGGCCCCATTGTACAAAGAGTTAATATCAATCACAAGTAATTTGCGATTGATATTACATAAGAGATAGGAGACTTACAATTGATTGCCAAGGACTCTCGATTGATTTGGATCAATCGTAAGTCTCTGTAAGACGGGCCCAGATAAACAAACTTGAATGAGAAATCAATGAATGTTAATACTAAATATATATATATTTGTTTAGTCAATGCTCATTGTATTACTGGATGTTTTTATGAAATCTTTGTTTTGTAAAGAAATCAAATTCTATTTCATTTAGGTAAGGATGTATGACCTGTCGGAAGGAAAGGGTTTCCGATGTCTACACCACGTTGACATAGCCAAGCATCTTAGACAACAGAACAGACTCAAGGCGGAACAAAAGGCTTCAACTTCATCACAAGGTCAGTATCTATATGACTTTGATAAAATGTCATCATTCTATTCAAGGAAGCCCGCGGGCTATATAGCAGTGGTTTCATAACCGAGAGGTCCTGGGTACTAAAGCAAGTCCATGCGCTCATACTCTTTGGTAAGGCATTAATCCTCATTACCAAGTCCCTCAGAGAGGACTTAAAGCCGTTTGTCCCCTGGTTGCTTACTTACAAGCATAAACATGCTGACTGCTCTCTTAGCAGTCAGGTTAAGCAATCATCAACCATCAACCATATTCATTTTTCACAGATAATATTGATATTGCATCACCAGAAACTTCTGTGGAAAAAGAAAACCTTTTAAACGCAAATGACAATGATGACTGTTTGTCTTCCTAGTTTCGGACAGTGCATGGGTTATGAATGTGCTTGTTGTTGAAACCATTTCTTGATTAAAGCATAAGCAGGATGCAACATACAAATGTAAACATAGTACATTCAGCATGGTTTGATCTTTTTCTTATTACATTACAATGGATGATAAAAAGACTTGAAAATAGAATAATACATTTCAAACTAGCCAACAAGCTGATAGAACCTGTTTTGAGGTACTGTATTTCGTATTCTCAGAATAGAAAATAAATGTACCGGTATGCCTATGAACTCTTTTAGAAGAATAAAAACAACCTCAAACAATTTCAGTTAATGAACACATTGCAATGATCATGAACGTACCTAAAGAATGTCCTCATTACCCTGTTGTCTATATATCGGCTATAAATTAACTGTTATCTCAAAAGTAATGACATTGACAAGGTGCTAGCCAGTTCTTTCATTCATCTGATCATGAATATCGAACAAATCTTAAAGGGATAGTTGAGTTCTTGTTTAAGTCCTTCAAAGTGCATGGTTATTGCTCTTATTCTTATTTATGACAATTCTAGTGCCCTTTTAGAACCTAAAATATGTGAATTTAGAATAAATGCGATCATACCAATTCAGCTCCACTTTAAAAAAAAATATGGTGACCGTTAATTAATTAATTAATAATAACAATACATGGGCCGGCTGGTTGTGCGTAGTATAACCTACACGAAAAAGCCAGCAAAAAGCTGGCTGGAACAGAATGTATAAGGCGCTATCTCGTTTATCAACGGCTGGTTCAAAATTTGTATGGATATTTCAACCATCTCTAAAATGATTTTAATCAAACAAAGATGATTTTATCATTTAAATTGTAAATTCTTTCAAATTTGACACTCAGTTTTTTATTATCTCACAAAACTCAACTAGAAATGATGTAAACTTTATTTCTTGACATCAATCAGGGCCTGCTACGATCAGCAGCAAACCATCATGGAAGAAGCAGGAAGCAGACCATTCCGTGGTCGATGAGGAGGAGGACGATGACGCTGCGGAGTGTGGGGAGAGCATCCTGGGTCTTGGGTTCTCCAGCCCAAAGACGGCGCCAAAGGCTGGAGCTAGAGGAAAGGGCGATCATTCTAATGTTCCTGCTTTCCTCTTACCAGACACCTCTCTTGTAGAGTGAGTGCACTTTATCTTTTAATTACATTGTTCATTTGTGTGATAGTAAGATGTAGTAGAAGTAGGGGAATTGATGGTGATTACTGTAATTTGGTATAATAGGTGAACATTCTGTGTTTTGTAATGTGTAATGTGTAAAATAACTTTTTGGTTCAAATATTTTAAAGAAATAACTGTTTTCATTTCAATGTTATCTTGTCATGTATTGTAATCTGAAATGATGTTTAATGTCAGATTATATAAAATGATTAGCACTGTCTCTTTTAAGTAAAAGTTTTAAATGTTTATCTTCTTCAATGTTCTGACAAATAAAACTTTCCAAGATAAAAAAATAAATAATAAGTGAACATTAAGTATAGTAAAGATAAAAGATTAAATATGGTAAGAAGACATTATGTATAGTAGGGGGAGGGGGAGGAGGAGGAGGAGGAGGGGGAGGAGGAGGAGGAGGGGGGGAGTTGCAGATGAGAAGGGGAGGCAGGAGGTAAAATTACAAGAGGGGGAGGGAGAAAAGAAAGAGACTGTGGGAAGTCATTGGGAATGAATGAACATAGATATAAAGAGAAAATGTAAAAAAACTAAAGGACAGAAAAGATGACACACTTTATAAATATTAATGCCAGCAGAATGATCTGGTTATTTCTATCTTGTTAATCAATCTCCTAGAGAACTAAGTGACAGTACATCTCATCTTATGATAGGCACACCAGGTGCTCTGCTACAACTCAATGCTGCGAGCTGTATGGTGGAACAGTATATAGACTTCCAAGGTAAGCTGTGTCATTCAGGTCACTTGAGAATTTTATCCCTCATTTTTGTCTTTTGAGATCCAGAAGCAGGCCTGATAATTAACCGATTTAAATCTGTTTCCTGATTTTTTTGATATTTTTTTCCCTGTTTTTTTTTTCCAGATTCCCCCCCCCCCTGATTTTTAACCCTTTTTTCCCCTTATTTTCTCTATTTTTTCCAGATTTTTCCCTATATTTTTCCCAATTTTCTTACTCCAAAGGGGAGAATGTTGTAAGATGCCATTCCCCCCCCCCCCCCCCCCCCCCGAACCCTCTTCTTTTTTTTTTACTCAAGGGGGCATGGTTGAGGGGGGAAATTTTTTTTTTTTTTTTTTTTTTAGTGCTCACCATCACCCCTGAGAAGGGCATTTTCTTAACCTGACTGCTGAGAAAGCATGTGTTACTTACAAGTAGCTAGTGTATGCATTTAAGATTGTATAAGTGCAGGATTCAACACCCTTTTGCCCTTCAATAGATGAATCCATGATGAAATAAACAGAGAAAAAATATTGAGTGGTTGAATGCTAAACCTTACATAACTAGGTGTTATACACATACGAAATGCCTTTTGCATACTTCATACCTGTCAAATTTATTACATATAATATAATAAGTAAGTAAACCATGAAACCAGAGTTCTGTGTCTTTTATTAACAATCCCACAGATTTATTTGATCTTTTTTTTATTTGAAATGTTTATGCCATTGTTAACACCTTAACCATGATAATGATATCTTTTTCTTGTTCTCATATGTTTCCTTTATCACATTCCTTTATATATCTGTATTTTATTCTCTTTTTTCCTGATATATTCCTATATTTTGATAGGACCCTTGCAATCTGATGAACACATAGATCAGGAGGATGTTGTTCTGGGAGTAGCTGGGAATTATTCCTTTTCCTCAAGTCCTCATGATTCTCAGGTAATGTTTAACAGTATTGTGCAAGTATGAAATGGTTGATGGATCGGGACCCTGTTGCATAAAACTTACCATTGATGGTAACTTTGTTCAAGCCTTGGTGTGGCGATAATGTCCTTTAGCAATACATTGGATTGGTTTGATGGTTAGTTTTACCTGACTGCTATGAAAGCATGTGTATGCTTGTAATTAAGTAAGCAACCAGAGGACCGACGGCTTTAAGTCCTCTCCGAGGGACTACATTGATCTACATTTGCCGCTCGACGCAAGAGTTGAAGTTAGAGACTGGGTAGGAAGAAAATCCTTGAATGCTAGAGTTCTATGAAAGCTTCTTTGCCAAAGCTTCAGTGATTCTGAAGCAAGATGAATTATGTACTGTACAAAACCCACATTTGTCCTTGTGTGTGTGTTTATGAACAGGTGGCTTGTTGAATACAGTTTGTGGATGGATAAATAAGAAATATAGGTGAATGGATACATGCATAAATCTTATATGAAAACATTTTTATATTTAAAGGTCCAATGTTTTGGAATTCTTTAAGTACTGAAATAAAAAAAATGCTCCATCAATTAATACTTTTAAGGAAAAAATTGAAATTGCTTTTATTACAATCATATAAAACCTTGTTGAAGAATATGTTCTCGTTGTTTTTGTTGAATACAAGATCGTTCTCTACTCACTGACTCAAAATATAATTTAATATATTATATTGTGCCTTCTCATGCTTATCTTCTTTCTAATGCGCATTTCTCTTTCCTCATCTTCTTCTCAACCCCACGTGCAGCTCATCATTTTGTGTTATTTTTTAGTGGACCTCTCTGTTTCCAATATGTATTTCTACATTTGTTGTAAATGTTTATAATGATTTGTAATGTTTTGATGAAAACATAAATAAATTGAAATTGAATTGAATTGAAATTAATGGATCCCATCGCATTGTTCTCTAATCAGGTGACTTGTTTGATCGGGAGCCTGTTCCACAACTCTGTACACACCCTCGCCATTGGATGCGATGCGAGCAGAAAACCAGATTCAGACTCGGCTGCTTGCAAACTCTCTCAGATGATGGAAAAGTCCTTGGATATCATCACTACAGAGTCCGATGGAGGCAGCTCAAACACCCTTGAAATCTCTGTCATTCCAAAGTAAGTTGGATTCATGGTTGATATAGCAAATGTCAAATAGTGGAAATGAAGAATGATACAGAATTTAACTTACTATGTTGTTGTTGTAGTTGTTGTTGTTGTTGATGTATGTCTCCTTTTTATGTATGGCAATTAATGCTTAATGAACTGTCTTTGCACTAATACTCTAATGGGGGGTTGCAAGAAAGTTGCGACTGATATATATTTTTCAAAGATGCTAACGGCTTCCCATAATTGTTAAGTCCAACTTAGAGTTAAGTTCGACTTAGGATCTTTGTGAAACACCCCCCATTTCTGATAAACTTCTTTGCATTGAAGGACTGGTATTATACATCTGTTTTCAGTACTCCCGTTGCGGAGAAATCACTCCTGCGCTCAGAGCTAGTACCTAAGTCCAAAGCCGTGGGATCTACTAGTAAGAAGTCTAAATCAGCCGGGACTAAGAATGTGAAGGCCAAAGATCAACCTTTGACCTTTAAGTCTAAAGTAAGCTCATCAGGGTACTCGGAAACTTCAAGGTAATTATGTTGAATGTTGGACTTTGTTGCCCATGTTTCATGATCCACTGTTTTAATGATCTGTTTTCAAAGTAGAAGTCATTCATTTTTAGCTTGTATATCCAATTTCACCTTGTTTCTCTCAAACCTTCTTCTTTTTCTTCTTCTCTCTCTCTCTTTCACACACACTCTCTCTCTCTCTCTCTCTTTCACACTCTCTCTCTCTCTCTCTCTCTACCTCTGTTGCTTTTTTTCTCTCTTGCTTTCTCTCTCTTGCTTTCTCTCTCTCTCTCTCCCCTCCTTTCTTCCTCTCTCTCTATCCCCCATTTGTCCCCCTTTCTATTTTCCCTCTCTCTTTCTCTCTCTCCTCCTTCTCTATCTGCCCTCTTTCCCCTCCCTCTCCATTTCTTTCCGTCTCTCATGCACCCTCATTCTTTCATCACTATCCTCAGTGCTCATCTCCTGCTGTTATCTAGTTGTTGAAAAGGGCGTTGCCATTTTGTAGCCTTATGACATTCCCTTTATTGTTCACTGTATTACTGGTATACCAAAAGTATTTAAGGAAGGCTTCATACTCTGTTAAATACGTAATGGCACTAATACATAATGGTCAACCATAACTGTCTTAGAAATGAGTTGAAACTTCAAATGACTGATACATGTACATACATTGATATGTTATGATATTTTGACGGATAAAATGTTGCTTTAAAGATGGATTTTGCATTACTGTTTTATTCTTCATGTGATTTTTTTTCAGAACCAAGATGTTTTCTCCCCAAACCAAGCAGGCATCAAGTAAAAAGGCGACCATTTCGATACAGAAATCATCCTCTGCACCTGGAATCAGGTAGTTATAATTTCAGAAAATGAAGATAAATGTCATATATTATTATCAATAATGTAATAGTGTTACTTTTTAAAGCTTTTCTACTTTCAGAACATCATGTGAAGTGCATTAGCCTCATGTGCTATCCAAAGGAAATGATGCAATTTTTATTCATTTTTTAATTTTCACTTATTTGGGACAATTTGAAGTGTGCAATGCATGCATCTTTTCTCAATAGTTTTATAAGCAATTTGGTGGGATATATTGTGAAACAGTAATTCTTTTTAAAAATTCTGTTCAACTTTGCACTCTTTCTTCAAGATGAAAATTGCATGAAAATTGGTATTAGTACGACTTCTAGTTTTTATGTTAGCTGTAGTTTTGATTGTTACATTGGTGTTTTGACACTAAAGTTTCAACATTTTCTGTTGGAAACGTACGTGCCTCAAACTCAGCTCTAAAATTAAGAAAAGGAAGGTTTCACCAACATGCAGTGGTCAATATATACACAAAAAATTATTAAATCCTGTGTTCTTTTTATCTAGTTCTTTATTGAAAGAGTATTCTGTTGATTCGGAGCCACCCAAGACCCTGAAAACCAAGCTTGTCGTGAGTGAGCAGGGATCTCCCATCAATTCAATCAGTTTCTCAGGTAAGTATAGGGTTATGCAGAATATATCTCAGTCTCACAATGATTATAATCCATGCTAGACATCTTTGCTTCCTGTAGTTAGCTGGTGCTCAATTTGCCAGGAGGCTAGACTATTAAAATGAGGCATAATTATTTTTTATTAATAATAGTAATGTTGGATATTTATACAGCGCACATATCCACCGTGCATAATGACACCATGGCCGGTCTTCATCAGCTTGAGTTTGCCATATAACCTGCTATTCTAACTATCCCGATCGCAAAATTAGCCAGTTAATTTGCGTCTTCATCAGCTCGCAGTTGCAATTACCGGGATATTTGGTCGAGAAAATATCCCCAGAAATCTTGGTCTTGTTTCCAAAATATCTCGCTATTTCGGAAATAGCAGGCTAATTTTGCGTCCGTCCACCAAACTAGTTTGTGATGAGCGTATCAGTCTGGTGAAGACACAATTTTGAGCTTTGGGATAATATCCCGAGTCTGAAAATAGCAGGTTATTTGACAAACTCGAGCTGATGAAGACAGGCCTCGTGTGTATTGAGTGAAACATTTTTTTTGTTTTTTGTTTGATTTTATCAGATGATGGTCAAAGCATAGCCTGTGCTATGGCAGATAAATCAGCTCAGATCCTGAAGATGCCCCTGACTGGCAAAGGAACTGCATTCTCAGGTGTGTTGTTATGTCATGTGTTTGTGAATCGATTCAAGTTCAAGCAAGTATACCTTTCTACTCCTGCTAGTTGATGTTCAGGTTGGCAAGGCATTAATCTACTTTTGCCACTCCATACCCAGGAGAGAAATGGGGACCTGGTAGAATGACCAATTGTCATATATGCCCTCACGGTAACTGGTAGGAATACTCTACAGGGAGTGGAGATGGTGCACATTGTGCGTGAATGAATCTGATGACTGGGGTAATGCCATCTTGTCTATTTGAAATGGATTTCTCTTTAAAGGTACTACATGTATGTTCCATTTGCAGACCCCAAAAATGAAAAGGTTAAATTCCAAAGGCATTTGAAAGACAATACTAATTTAGAACTTCCCTTTAAAACAAAAGGGCTTGAAAACGGCTTTTAGTGGAAAAATAACGACCATTAGTTGTCGAATCGACTTAAATGATTGCAATCACCTTAGTAATAGTCTGATTTTCAGACCCTTATACCGAATGGTCGTACGTTTTGAGCTGCACAAAGATTCAATCAGTTTAATTTTGGCCATTACAAGTAGTAGGTTATTGATGTAGACAAATGCTCATGTACTGTACCTGTTACAGCTCATTTTATGTACCGGTATGTTATTACTATGTCTGACATTGAAACCTAGAAGGTAAACAGGCTTCCTTGCATAATTTGAATACTAGAACACTTAAATTTCACAGATAGGACATACATGACATGTTCGTAATTCCTGCAAAGTTCTACAGAATTTGATGTTGGCTGCAAAAGGGACATAGTGTCTTTAATTCAACTAAGCCAATGCTTTTGATTAACAGATGTATTCACAGATGACAGGGGCACATATATTTTCATGAGCTCATGTTTTCACAAAAACTAACCCAGGCTAGTTAACATATATGTTTCTATGTACCTTTCTATCTCATTTTCACACTGTAAATTATGACTAAACTGTTTGCAAGAAAATTTCTATTAAAAAAAGGACTTTTCGTTACCAAAATGTTACTTCTTATCAGCTGTATAAAGTTACTGCAACTTTGTGTTCATTTCTTTCTTAGGTCATAATGGTGCATTGAACAGTGCAACATGGAGCCACCATAACCAATGGCTTCTAACTACGTCGGATGATAAGACTGCTCGGATATGGACTAGAGGGCTAGCAGATCCCGTCATGACCTTTGACCGGGTCAATAATAATTTTGATTCTGACAAAGAGAAGGCCACAACAGGTGACAAAGTAAGAATATTCATAGGGTTTTGTTTTTTACATATTTCTATACATTATTAATAGTAGAGGCGTTGTGATCTACATTTGCCACTCTCCACCCAGGTGGAATATATGGATACTCGGTAGGAAGAATTCCTTGAATGCTTTAGTGCCTTATAATGGCGGTCAGCTACAGCCGAGATAATAATATGATACTTTGTATTAAGTGCAGAAGACTATATTCATATAGTAGCTGTGCTATATATAAATAAACTTATTATTATTATTATTATTATTGATATTAGCAAATTGTCTTTTCTTGATTTCATCTTTCTTGATCGTAGAGTAATGCACTGTTTGGAAAGGAAATCAAGCTAGGTCAGTTCTACTACGTGGATCGCTTTGTGTTGCTGATGTCTGCTAACTCACTCTTCATGTACAAGTATCATCTCGACACAAAGGTGGACGACATTAAAAGGTGAAAGAATTGTAAAATAATATATATTGTTTGATTGTTTGTTTTACCTGACTGCTATTTAAGAAAGCATGTGTATGCTTGTAAGTAAGCAACCAGGAGGACAACTCAGAAGGACTTAGTAATGAGGATTAATTAGTTCTTGCACAAATATTCAATCAAGTTTAGACAATTTATATTATAAATTTGTTTAATACCTCAAGCAAGGTTGTTGGAATGAGTTTCATGTACTTGATTTGGTGGCTGTGAAAAGAAAGTTTAATAAGGAATTTAAAGTCTAATCTTTGGCTGAGGTTCAGGTGACATCAAATACTTAATGATGATAATAATAATTTGCATATGCAAATAATACTTGAATAAAAGATCTGTAAACAAATCTCATCCAATATTTTTATCCGCCAGGTATCAAACTAATTCTCGCTACAAGCTTGTGAAGCAGTTTCAGATGGAGAAAGCCCAGCAGATCACTGCGATGTCAGCCATCAACACCTTCAACTCTTGTATCCTTTCTTTTGTAAATAAGACAAATGTTAAATAGGCCGTTTTCGTAATGTAATCAAATTTAATGCACAAATCTTTGTTCCGTTACAAATGACTTCAGTCACCTGTTATGAATAACTGTATTTCAATAGTCAGAATGTGAATTGCAAACATGATGTGTTGCTAGGTAGGACAAGCATATCTTGTACCTTTATGCATTAAAGATTTATTAAATTTTATTAAATTATGAAAATGGCATATTGCTTTGAGGAGCTTACAGTAAATATGCACACATTAAATGTATTATTACTATGCAGGCTGTCAATAGATTTTTTTTATTTTATACAAGTGCAGTAATATTGGATAAATTATGCTGTGATTCAATAAAGAAGGGCATCACTATATTTCTATATTCAAACCTGTCTTAGTGACCATCTCTCTATAAAGGCCACCTGCCTATAGCGGCCGTGCATTTTGTCTCCCCCAAGAGAGAATTTGTGTTGTGGAACCTGTCTAGAAAGACCGCCTGTCTTTATGCAGTGGCCACTTTTTCTATTTCCCTTGGGTGGCCTTTATAGACAGGTTTGACAGTAGTAAACATGTTTCCACTTTCCAGTTTCGGGCTGGATATGAAAATTTCCTTTTTAATTTAATTTTTTTTATGTTTCTAACAAAATATTACAAATCAATTACTGTATAAATATTTACAACAAATGTAGAAGTACATATTGGAAACAGAGGGGTCCACTAAAAAGCAATGCTTGTACAATGAAAGAAATACCATACTCCTTAACTTTACTTTCCAATCAGACATTGTGCTGTGTGCTGGTTCAGATAAATCAATAGAAGCCTTGGATATGAATGTAGGAAAGACCGCTGCTAGGATCGCTGATGTTCAGAGCAGAGCTGTGCATGTAATAGCCCAGAATCAGGTAAGAAAGGATATTCTTGTAGAGGGATACCAGGCCTAAGGAATTCAATTCAATTCAATTCTCATTTATTTCATTCTCGATTAAAAATTACATTGATACAAAAGATATACAAAATAATTCATAAACAAATTGAGAAAATGAAATGGGGAACTACATCAATAAAGCCCTTAGGCCGTGTACAAGCGTTGTTCCCAAAGCATTCATAGCATATGATATATTCACATATTCACAGCAGATGATATGTATATCAATTCAGATTGCAATAGAAAAATTCAGATATATTTGTATTAACGTGTTGGCTTTTTGTGTTTTTCTCCCTCTAGGGGTCTATGTATGCCAGTCACCCATCTAGCAGCTATGATCTCTTTGCGACGTCAGCAGTCACAGATGGGATTAAAGTGTGGGATCTTAGGTCCAATAGGTGAGACAAACCCGGCCCCTCTATGGTTTTATGTATGCCAGTCATCTTTCTAGATATCCATTTTCTTTGCAAAAGATCATATTTACTCTTGAACAAAACACATTTGGCATTCTCTAAAGCATATGTTAACAATTGTCTGAAAGTGTTACTGTTTCTTGACTTTTATAATGTAATTTCTTTTATTTTACTTCATTTCATTTCGAGGAACACAAAGAGCAAAACAATAAAAAAAGAAAAAAGAATAAAAGATTAACAAATAAAAGTAAAGGAACTACAGGTATGCCTAGGGTTCACTACAAGCAAACAAGCTCTTAAAAAAAGGGGGGTCTCTGTTTATTTTGCTCACGGTACACATAGTCCATAGTGGTTTAGTATTAATCAAGGAGGTGAATCGTAAAGCAGCAAAACAACAACAAACAAAAACAACTCCCCCCCCAAAAAAAAAAAAGAAAAAGAAGAAGAACAATACAGTTAATGCCATTTACTAATTGCAAGTCATACATGTAGGAGAGTGATTCCTACAGACAATATATCTTTTCAAAATACATTTTGTTCACTTCACTTTCTAATTCATATAGAATTTAATCTCGACAGTTTATACTCACACTATATCATGGTACATATTCAACTTTATTCCTCTTTTCTTCAAGATTCGTCCTCATTTCTCACCCTAATCCTTTCAAGTCAATTCTCTTTTCTTTCATGACCAAGGTGTGTGAAGCATTTAGAGGGTCATCTAAACCGAGCGCACCATTGTGGATTACGCTTCAGTCCATGTGGGAAGTACATCGCTACCGGAGCGGAGGATAGATCAGTAAGTGCAATCCATTCATTGCAGTTGCACCTTGTTATTAATGGCTATTAAAGGGATCGTTTAACAATGTTAAATCTGAGATGCACGATCCTACGTGTTATCAGTGTCTGTGATATGGTGTAATTTTAAAGCCCTAAAAAAATTGCGCTTCAAAATATCAAGAAGTGCCTCAAAAAAGTAAAAATCTTTGAGTGACCCGTTTTATCATACCGGTACACGTTTTCCCCAATTGTAATTCCAATCATAAATATCTTGATAATCAGACAGGCGATTGGCTTGTAAAAGTCATGGGGTTCCTGACTGACCTAAAGGTTTATAATATGATTGCAGCATGAGCTAAATCCAGGAGTTTGTTTCAGAATCTGAGACAAAGTTACCGGTTCCCTCTAAGCGATTTGTTAGTCTTATTTAATTTAAAGGAGATATACAACGATAGTGATGAATGATTATTTGTTACAGTTTTGTTATTTAATTATTTAAACATATTTGTGGCTTACACCTACTAATCATTCCACTTAAAAAAACCAAGGTTTATGCATTACTTTGTAGCAAAAGCAAATTTTAGAAATTTAAGAAGTGTGATAAAAGGGAACCATTAACCATATACCTTTTCTTTATTTTTAGGCATATGTGTATGACTTGAGAGGTGGGACATACATAAGGAAGCTGTCAGGTCACACAGAGGTCGTGTCAGATGTGACCTTTCACCCTCTATATCCTGAGGTAAGATGAAAGAAATTCACATCAGCACTTTAACTGTTGCATGTTAAGAGGTCATAACAAGATAGATGTCAGCACAAAAGGGCTGTGCTGTACGAATGAATGGAGCAATTAGTGGAATAGATGGATAGATAAATGGATTTTATTAAGATCTTCGTGTCTGGCAGTTAAAAACTGAAATGAACATAAATTACAATGAAAATTTCCAAAGAACATTAACATAATAATATGAGATACCAATAGGTCACTTCCGCAATAATGTAGTATTCTTCATCATTGATGTGAAGAAATTTTTGGCTTGCACCCAGTACATAAAGTTGGCGTGCTTGATCTTGTAATTTAAAACAAGTCAGGAGAGCCATGGACACATGATGGCCTGGTGGTAGAGTCGCTGCCCGGCAAGCAGTAGATGGCAGGTTCAAATCCTGTTGGTTTCAAGAGTTTTCTGACTTGTACAAGATCAAGCAGATGATCTTTATCTACTGGGTGCAAGCCAACAATTTCTTTTCAATTGAAACTTCTCCCAGGAAACCTAAAACTTTAAAGGTATTCTTAACCATTTGGGATCTGAATTTTCTCCTTCCCAAAGACTTAAAGCCACTATGTCCCTTTTGACGCCAATATCAAATTCTGTATAACTGTCCAGGAATTATGAATATGTCATGTATGTCCTATCTGTGAAATTTAAACGTTAGCAGTGTCCTAATATTCAATTATGCAAGGAAACCAGTTTACTTGCTAGACTTCACTGTCAGACACTATTGAGTGACTGACTGGCTTTTTTTCTTCTTTGTTAATAACAAATGGGACATAGTACCTTAAATACAGGAACTACCAGTTCCTGCAGAAAAAATTTGATAAAATTCAAAGGGAATATGTAGAGTGATGAAATTGTAAGTATAGTAGATTAGATGAAATAATACAGAGCACAATTTTGTTATCTAATGCTTTAAAATTGTCCAATGATTTTCCCACTTTGGTCTACAGATTGTAACAGCAACTTTGGATGGCAAGCTACGGCTGTACAGCGACAGATGACAATAATCACTTTGATCAGGACTCATTTCTCATTTCTGCCCCCCTCCACCCTACCCACTTGGATAGCAAAACGCTGGTCAGACTAGTGGAATTCGTCCACTACCAACTTGAAGGAGTTCATCCCAAAGCCCTGTGCAAAACCAACTGGCAGTGACCTCTCAAGAAAAGCCTGGGTCAACCTCAGCAGTATCAGAACTGGAGTTGGCCGTACACAATATTTCCTGCATAAAATTGGAGCTGAATCTTCACCAAACTGTGCCTGTGGAGATATCCAATCTATGGATCACGTCATCGATGACTGTCCTATCTACAAATCCCCACACGGTGCTTCTTGACTTCGAGAGCTCCGATGATGAGACAATCAGTTGGCTAAATAAGGACCTTCCTATTTATAATAGATGATGTACTCCCTGATATTCTTTGTATGAACGAACAAATGAACGATTTCTGCAATAATTATTCTGTTGGCAAAGGATACCAATCCAGAAAGTGTGTAATATCTCCTTGAATCTCCAGTCATCACTTTAGGAGGAGGAGGCCCGATGGCTCAGTGGTTAGAGCAGTGGTCTCGTAACTGACGAGTCTAGGGTTCAAAACCAAGGCAATGCGCTAGTGCCCCTGGTAATACATTAAGCCTCATTACCAAGCCCCTTGGAATTAACTAAATAGGTGTAGGTCCCCCAGTTGCTAACTGGTATTTACAAGCATATACATGTACATGCTCTGGTTACAGGTAAAATATACCTTCATTCCATTCCAGACCAGTCCAATATTTTTAAATACACTGTGTGCAGTCATTTCATCTTTGAATATCTTTATTTTTACTTCTTTGTTTAGAGAGAGAAGGATTAGACATGTTATGTTTAATAAGATGCTTTGTTACCTAATTTAGGTATCAATAATGTTTCTTGGTGTGAAATATGAATGAAGATATCACAGCTTGGTACCAATTCTCTATTTTGCTTCTTCTTTAGACATTTGAAAACAGGTTACAACATTGTATTATAGTACAATTCTAACCCCAAATACTTAAAAATTACAGGGGTAAATATGTATCATGTCGTAGCTCCTTATACACGGATAAGTTCTTTCATGATTTGAGGATTTTAGAAGAAATTTATCCTGACCAACGAATGAGGCCTCATTTTGGAGAGTTCCTATCAAGGTTCTATATCAGATTTTGTAGAAATATATTATAATAATAATGTTGGACAATACTGATTCACCTAAAAACTTATTTTCATAAAGATTAAAGATTTATTAAAGCCTTACAGCACTAATTATAGCTACTTGCGCCCTCTTACAGCAGACAATGCCTAATCGGTGCCTTTTGGTCCCCCATGATCCCCCTTTTCTTATGTTAATTGAGAGCTGATTTGTTGAAACAAACATCTGTCAGTGACCTTGCAGGGAGGTCTAATCCCCCTGGCCAAAGTAGTACAGACAGGCTTTCAAACATAATTTCACAGCTGGATTGAGATAATTTTACCCTTTAAAAGAAAAAAGAAAAAAGATTGAAATATAGAAATGTATAATTACAACAAATATATATTATTTATATAATCATGAAATTGAATACAATTAGAAATACCATGTTTACCTCCGATGTTTCTGTAATTTTAGTGTTTTAATAATCCTGTTAAAATATGAAATTTGATGGGTACAGACAATGCAAAATTGATCGTTTGTTTGAAGGAATGATTCACAGAAAAAGAATTGCATTATCAGGTTAGTTAGAAACATTGAGATCTTCAACATCATACGAAAATATATGATTAACTACAACACAGTACTACATGTAGCTCAACTGCCATTAGATTGAATAGAAAAGTAAGCATTCATATGATAACAAAATTAATTTTATAATAATCTTAGACAGAATAAGCTGTGAAGTATTTGTTTGACCTGGTACTATTTGTTGAAATTTTATTCTATAAACTGTATCCATCCATTTTTTCATTCTTTGAGCAATATTTATTGTATTTCAAATAAAGTTTTTTATGATAAGTAGAAAATTGTTAATTTCTTGAAATGAAAATTGGTATGTGAAGAATAAAATGTGAATTAATAATTTATAGTTTTGATCATTTGTCCCTGCCTTCTTGTTCATGGTTGATTACTGATTAAGGTTAGCAGAGATGGAGGGGTTGATATGATGGGGGGAGTCTGATAAAGAGTGAGAAATAGAGAGGGGGTCAAAAGAGTAGAAAAAGAGAGAGATAGAGACTGAACGATTAACCCCTTGCCATTTTGACCCAAAATTGATGATTTTCCACATTTCCCAAATATGCCAAAACGCCCCTCAATGGGGATAATTGGCGCTCGACCAAGCTTATAATGTACAACGATGTTCATTTAGACCAAATAAACTAAGGGGACATTTTTCATTTTGGTGGCAAAAACGATGAGCCCTTGCCATTTTGGTCAAAAATGTAAATGTAAAAACCCAATACACATATCAATCGTCAGACATGATTATTGACGTCTGGGGACCGACCTTTAAACGTCACCATCCGAAAGACGTGATTTGACTCAGTTTCGAACCTGCGACCTCGGCTGTATCATCATCAGTTCGAATCTTCTATCTTCTATTGATAGCTGGATTACAGGCGCACGCCACAACACCTAGGTTGCAAGCGTCCAGCGTATATAAAAGCTTTAAAATCACATTTGTTTTACAGTTACTCAAAAGTACTTCCTTCCAGACCACAAACATGCATATTCATCAGGATGCATTAGAATATCCTTTATTCTTATCATTCTCTTGCTCATGATTGGGTATAGCAGGCAGTACATGCAAATACCTACTGATGAATATCCTCGACGTAGACGTAGACGTAGTACAAGAAGAAGAAACTTTTAGTAACTGTGAAAATTATATGATATCTAAACCATAAATAGCCTGAGATTCTGTCGATGGTGTAGTCAGAAGATGTAAAATGCCCAAAACTTCGTCGTACGGCGATCCCTCTGACTTTGCTTATAAACTTTCTAAGGCGGACCCCTGCTCGAGACTGGGTTTTGTCTTTGGGATGGTGATGCGCGGAAAGCCCGCACACACACACCCACCCACCCACCCGCACACACACCGGGCCGTTTATTATCTTGTCATATATATATATAGATGCTTGTGTTAAGACTATGATATCAGGAGGATGTTATGTTATGATACCTTTATAACAACTATATATTTATCTCTCTCTATCTCTTTGTCTCTACACACATTTCAAACATATACTACTTTCATATTCCTAAATTCTCAGAGATTAAGAACGAACTTTATAATTCAAAATCTAGGGAAGTTTGGGAGAAGTCTCTCTTCCAAATCTCAGCCGTTGCCATCCCTCCCACCCAGTGACGAGTTTTACTAGGGTATAGGCTTTAGATATCATTTTTGTTGCACAGTTAGTAAAACCTCTCATGTGTATGTAAATCATGCATATTCATCAGAAACTATTTGAATATCTTTCATCATTGGTTATTGCTATATACTAAATATCACTTTCTTCCTCATGATTGGGCAAGGTAGGAGGTACATGCAAATACTTAAATTATGCATGCTTGACACATGAGAGGTTGTACTAACTGTGCAACAAAAATGATATCTAAGGCCTACACCCTAGTAAAATTCATCACTGGGTGGGAGGGATGGCAACGGCTGAGATTTGGAAGAGAGACTCCTTCCAATCACTAATTCTAACTTTCCTAGATTTTGATTATAAAAAGTTCATTCTTAATCTCTGAGAAATTATGAATATCAAAATAGTAGATGTTTGAAATAGACAAGAGAGAGAGAGAGATATATATATAGAGTTGTTATCAAGTGTTATCATATGATAACACCCTCCTGATATCATAGACAAGATATTATGCCAAGAATCAACCAGTAACAACCCACCCCGTGACAGCCCACCCGGTAACAACCCACCTGGGTGCATGTCCGGGTTTTCCACACGTCTGGTGACAGCGTTACAACGTCACCATCCGAATGACACAACCCAGTCCCGGGCAGGAATCCGCCTGAGAAAGTTCATGGATGAAATCAGATTGATTATATAACATCTTGAGCTTAAAATCACGTTGGAATTTAAGGCTATTTATAGTTAAGATATCATGTAAGTTTCACAGTTACTAAAAGTTTCCACTTCTTAATCGTACTACGTCTACGTCTACGTCGAGCATATTCATCAGAAGGTATTTGCATGTACTACCTGCTTTACCCAATCATTAGCAAGATAAATGATCAAAATAAAGGATATTCTAATGAATCCTGATGAATATGCATGATCGTGGTCTGGAAGGTAGTATTTTTGAGTAACTGTAAAACAACTGTGATTTTAAGCTATATATCATGACAATCTGCACGTCGGGGTAGGTGGCCAATGTAAAGAAGATTCCTTCCTCCTGGCTCCTCTTAGGGACTCTACCTGCCCGTCTTCCCAGACATGCCGGTCAACATACACCCCTACTTGTTGGAGGATGTTGGCCAACCTGCATCTCGAATTCGAAAACAGTTTTACTAAACCTCACATACATCCCAAATCCCTCTCACGCCTCTCTCACATTCTTCGAAATGGAAGGTGACCATAACGTTTTTCTTGCTCTGAATTTTCCAACCTTCTCATCTCGAAATAAAGTTTCATATGAAATTCACTTTTGCTCTTGTTCAAATACTTCCATCCATCCATTCCACAAGGCTTTTGCTGCACAGCTCCTTTCAAAGAATGTTTTAAAAAAAGTACACGCATATACAAGATACAAGATATTTTATTTGGTCTTCGCAAACAAGTTACATAGAAATTTGGTTTCCACTGGCGTTACAGTAATATTCAAGAAAATACATAATTACAAGAAATAAATATATTACGTTTATAGAAATAGATGAAATAAGGAACAAATACATGCAAAATATAATGAAGCGACAAAAGTGGTCATTTACCTCAAATCATGATAGTTTCAGTATTAATTAATTTCCGACGCAAAATTTCAACGTTTAACCTGTTTTTGTAAATGAGCAGGCATATCGATCT